ACATGCAACTAAGACAATTATCTTACGATTAGTATAGAAGTATTCACCTAACAAAAATTTATGACAATGGTATGGGTTAATGAATTGTTGTGTTTGTGTAAATTGACTTAGTCTCTTAGCAATTATCATAGGCTGGAAATGACCTTCATTTCAAGTTTTCATCCATCATAATGTATGAAATTTATCTAAATTAGGCGTCCATATGTTGTGGTCTACACTTTACATATACAAATATACACTATACGAGCAATATTGAGCTTTATATTTTATATGAGTCTAAAAGGGATGAACGTTAACTCTTGAGTGGTTATGCAAAGTATTAAGTATGTGTATATAATATATGCTAGATATATGACTAATTAATTAACTGGTTAATTTGGTTTGACTGGTTAGGAGTGTCTGAAACCAAACCAAACCAGCTAAACCAAACAAGCTAAAAAATTTAACCAAACCAAACCAATTATCCAAATTAACCAAACCAAATTATCCAAATAGTACCGGTTAAAACGGTTACCACGGTAACCAAACCGTTTGAACACCCCTAGTGACAACCCCATTAGGGGGTTGTGAGATTGACAACCCATTTTATAACCATAGGATCCTTTCTCTCTCTTGTCTCTTTCTTCTTTTTTTCAAATCAATGTTACATATTGGATTAAGGGTAATTTTCGACAAAAAAATTGACCACACTAGATTAGTACCCCTATTAATACCCAAAACCCTACATTCTCTCTCTCTCTCTCTCTCTCTCTCTCTCCATCACACTTTCTTCTTCCTATTTTCTTCCTCTCATCTCTTCTCTCTCTCTTTGTGGGCTGCCACCACCACCACCTCAGCCCTCCCGCCGACCCTCCGCGCCCTCCGCCTCTTATCACCGCCGCAGTCCTCCCGTCGTCGCGCTCTCCTCCTCCCACCACTGCCATAACACTCCCACCGCAACAATCACGCCCTCCTCCTCCCCCCACCGTTGCGCCATCACCCTCTACCCGTCGCAACCCTCCCGCAGCCCTCCGTCTCCCGCCACCGTCGTCGCCACGAGGTCACCGCCTCTCCCCTGCCTCCATTTCCCTCATCCCCAATTTTTTTTCCTGATCTGTGATTTTTCATATTTCATATCTGTTTTTTTTTTGCGTTAGTCTCTAGTGGTACGCTACCAGTGACACTGGCACTAGTACAACTAGCTACCAGTGGCACTAGCGTACCACTACTACTGATAACGCTACCAGTGACTAGTGGTATCGTACCAATACCAGTGGTAGTGTACCACTAGTTGAAAATCACTACCACTAGCGCACTGACGAAGTGGTACTTTTTTGCAAGTGGGCAAAGTGAGTCTGATTGAAGGATTTCACCAAAAGTCTGCCGGTCGGAGAAAGTTTGAAGGTCAGAGAGGAGAGGTTGCTAGAAAAAAAAGAGAGATATAGAAAAAGATACAGTGTATTAATTGTAGGATTTAATTTTTTTTAAGCTTGTATTTAAAATGAGTTTTTAATTCTCAATATGTAATTAATACAAAATAAATAAATAATAAATTCATTTTTTTATACCCAAAATACCCTTGTTTGTCAATCTTAATGGTTGTCACCATATCCCATCCCTTTTATGACAATGTTTAGTAATTTGAAGGATGATGAATAGCAACCCTTTTAATCAAATAAGGTTTACATGCCCCAAAATTATCATACATCATCCAATAGGTTCGGTTAGTGTATGGAGCCCTTGTTGAGGTTCGAATTATCATCACCAGGAAATAAAGAAGCAGGTGGACTAAAATTCTCAAGTTAGAGTATTAATATCTTTCTTTTTATAATGGTGAAAATATATTAGCAACAAAAACAAATCGCCCAAATACAAACAACCAAGAAAAATGCAGCTGCACGAGTTTTGCACGCCATAGACACACACAACAACAAAAGCAAAGAAAGAAAGAAAGAAAAAATCGCAAAGGAGGGGGGGAGCTAGGCCAACCGAGAGGCCCCTGCTCCAAACCACCACGCAGCCAAAACACAAAACTCTCAACAGAGAGAGACTAGCCACAACAAGTCCAATCGAGGCACAAAGCATAAACATAACAACTCCCAAATGTGGCACGAAGAGGACACAAGAATTCGACAACTCATCATGAAAACAAGAACACTGAAGCCAACCATAGGAAAGTCAAACATATTAGCATCCCAACCACCACAACAACCCTCTGAGCCACCACATCAGTAGGCAGACATTGATCTTCAAACCCCCAACATCCCTCCCAGCGGGGCAAACCAACCAAAGAAAGCCCACCCTCAACCCTCACAATCCAACCAATGTTTCCTTGAACCATCTTACACCTTCATCAGTTTGAACTTTCCCATGCGCAGTGATCCATTCTAATGCATTCTTATCCTCCCTCCGAGCCACCACAACAACAGGCAGACATTTATCTTCAAACAACAGTTGGTTCCTCATGATCCAAACACTACACCAAACCGCATGGAGAATACATTCACCGAACCAAGAATTATTACTCTCCAATTTACCCGATTGCCAGTCTTTAATGATACAAGGGATATCCCTCCTCTCATTCCGCTTCACCCAACTGCTCCCAAATATGGATCTCCAAACATCCTTAACAAAATCACAATCCGCAAATAGATGGAACACCGTTTCTTCTTTGCAAAGGCAAAGGAAGCATCTGTTGGCCAAACTCCACCCCTTCCTCATAAGATTATCCAAAGTGAGAACCCTGTTGTGATACACCAACAACATAAAAAAGCAGATTTTACTAGGAACCACCATCTTCCACACCTGTTTGACTGGGAAATCAGGCACACCAGGAAGCTTATGCTATCCCAAGTTCCTATACATAGAACTCACATAAAACTTGCCATTTGAATCAGTATTCCAAACCATTATGCAAGGACTACATGAATTTCTTAACAAATCAGTAAAATCTAACAAATTAAATAAATCCAAACGTTCCCTCTCAGCCCCACCCCTTAGAGGAAATTTAAGATTAATATTCCAACTCACCCTCTCACCATTGAAGATTGCAGAATCGCAGAGCGTAGCAAGAGGGTCCAAAGCAGCAGCTGCAACACGAGGAAAGTCTGCTGAGAGCAAGATACCCGGAATCCAATGATCGTGCCAGAAAGAAATTTGAGTACCGTTACCAGGATACAAGTTAGTGAACTTCCATAAATTATCATACTCCGTAGATATATTTTCCCAAACAGAATGAGAGAAACCCCTGGCAGCCCTAGGAGTCTGCATAATAGAAGCCGGACTAGGGTATTTAATGTTAATCATCTCACGCCACCGGCTCCTCCTTTCGACAGCGAACCTCCACAACCACTTAGATAACATCGCATCGTTAAACGCCTTCATGTCATGGATTCCCAATCCCCCTGCTTTCTTCTCGGCCTTGCACCAATTCCACCTCACAAGAGCCATTTTACTGTTCTCCACAACTCCATTTCGCAGAAAGTTCCTTTGAATCTTTTCCAGATCATTGATGACTGAAGCAAGCGCCTTGAACAGGGGAAACAGATAGGTAGGCATGCTGGACAACACTGCTCTGATAAGCACTAATCTAGCTCCATATGAAAGGTGTCTACTGCCCCATCCACCCAACTTGTTCCGCATCTTTCCCACAATCGGATCCCAAATAGAAGTATCATTAGGTTTAGCGCCCAGCGGGAAACCGAGATACTTAGGAGGGTTCCTTCTCCACTTACACCCAAAAATGGCGGCAAAAAAACTTGGATCAGTAACATCTCCAACGGTGTACATCACCGACTTGCTAAGGTTGATCCTCAGGCTCGTTACAGATTGAAAGCAAGCGACTATAGCCAGAACATGGAGCACTTGCTCATGGTTTTCATCACAGAATATCAGAGTATCATCTGCAAACGTGAGATGATTTACTTCCCCCCTTTTAGACTCTTCATCCATATAAAATCCTTCAAATTTTCCATCAAGCCGAATCGAATTCAACATCCACGACAAAAGTTCCATGACCAAAACAAAAGCGCCAGGCGAGAGAGGATCTCCCTGACGCAACCCCTTAGAAACTAAGAAAAAACCATTAGATTCCCCATTAACCAGAACAGAGATATAGGAGGAATACATGGAACCTTTGATATAGCTCAACCACTTCTCCGAAAGTCCAGCAGCTGCCAATAACTTAAATAAACAACCCTAGTTGACATTATCGAAGGCCTTTTCGATATCAAGTTTAAACATCAACCCCGGTCTTCTACTCTTTTTACGGTTGTCCACCAGTTCATTAGCAATGAGCCCGGTTCTGAAATCTGCCTCCCTCGCACCGAAGACATCTGCTGTTGAGAAATCATCTTAGGAAGAACCAAACAGAGTCTTCTAGAAAGAACTTCATTCACAATCTTGTTCAAGCACCCCATCAAATTAATAGGTCTCAGGTCTTTAATGTCTTCTATCACATCCTTCTTAGGTGTTAAGCACACAAATGAGTGAGTAGCGCATTTAGGAAGATACCCGTTCACATAAAATTCTTGGAAATCTTTCAAAATATCACTTTTCAGCCAATTCCACTGAAACCGTCCTGACCGGGAGCCTTACTACCATCACAATCTTTTAAAGCTTCCCAAATCTCCTGTTTAGTGAAGGGGCGAGCAAGCAACTGGATGTCAGCATCATCAAGCCTCGGAATGCATTGACCCCCTGGAAATGGACGATTTGAAATCGTTTCTTTAAATAACTCTTGATAAAAACCAACGATCCCCATCTTTATATCATCTTTCTCCTCGATCATTTGACCATTAATTCTGATCCGATCAACGAAGTCGACTTTCCTCCTGTAATTAGCTACTTTGTGAAAATACCCTGTATTCTTTTCTCCAACTTTGATCCAAATCTCCCTAGACTTCAGTCTCCAACATATTTCTTGGAGCAACAGCAACCTGCTGAGTTCTAACTCGTAGCCAAATCTAGCATTCTTCTCATCATCCCCCAAAGAACGCGTCTCCTCCAAAGTATCCAACTCTTTAATTTTCTGTAATGATTCCCCCAATTTTAACATCCATGCTCCCAAACACTTCTTTGTTCCACACCTTAAGCTTTGCTTTAATCAACAGAAGTCTCTTAGCCAGAAGAAACATACCCCCATTACCCTGCAGCCTCTCACCCATCCATGAGTTCATATTCTCATAAAATCTCTCATCCTCCAACCACATGTTCTGGAAACGCCATGGCCTCTTGATCCTTCTATCTTGTCCCCACTTGAGAACCAACAAATTATGGACCGACTCCACCCTCTCCAAGGCAGTCAAGGTGCGATCCGAATAATAGACGTCAAATTCTTGTGAAATAAGAACTCTATCAATGCGAGACCGAGAATCCCTGTTCACACCATGACTCCAAGTGAACCTGCTGCCCCCAAGAGGCAACTCAAGCAAACCGTTATTATCAATGAAGGAGTTGAATTCAAACATCAATTCTGAGCTTCTTCTACTTCCTTGATAATCATCATGATTCCTAACCATATTAAATTCGTCCGCGATACAAATTGGCCCAGACTGCTGAGAGCAATAGTTCTGTAATTCACTCAGAAAAGCCAACTTGTCTATTCTCTCTTGTGGTCCATACACAACCACAAAATGCCACACTTTAGAGCTGCAGATTTCGAACAGTTCAACCACGATAAAATGATTACCTTCTGAGCTGGAGAGTTTAGTGTAGAAGAGTTTATCCCAGAACACAGCGATCCCTCCAGAACTTCGAACAGCATTCTTCGCTACCCACTCAAACTCTCTTCTAGAATACAGGCTGCCAATAATTCTGTCATCACAATTCGATAGTTTGGTTTCAACAAGACCCACAATTTTAGGGTTGTACCTCCTAATCAGCCTCTTAAACCTACTTCTCTTCTCCCGATCCCCAATTCCCCTCACATTCCAGATGGCAATACTCGTATCCATAGCAAACTATTGAGAACGAAACCCCCTATTTTTCCTGCAGCTTCTAGGCCCCATGGGAGACGGAGCCCTCAGACCAAGTCTGTGATTTTTCATTTCCAGCTTTGATCGGGTTACCCTGATCTTCCTCTGATACAATTCCTTACCCGATTGACGAATCAGCTCCTCGCCCTTCTCGAGAGTCCCTTCAAGCTCCAACTCAGCATTCTGCCCACATGGATGCATTTATCCAACAATGTCTTCTCATCGAAAGGGAATACTTCCGATCACACTCTCTACTTCCACCAACATCAATGCAGGAAGGGGAGGGGAGTTCGTTGCTCTCAATAATTGAGACCCCACCATCCACATTAGAGGGCGTAGGGGTTTGAGGAACAAGGCTAAGGAAATCCTCTGCCCAACAATCCAGAGATGTCGAACCAGCAACCGGTGATCGAGCCTCACATTCCCCGTCGAACAAATCATCGAAATCAATCGCGCCACCATTGTAATTGTTGGGAGATCCAAACCCTAGGAGAGCATTCTCAGTCAAACCCCTAACTGTATTCCGAGAGCCGAAGCGATCACCATCATCAAACCTTGCAAAATCAAAACTCACAAGGTCGCAATGTAGATTCCAAAAAATGCTTCGAGAAAGAATACACCTAGAAAGGAAAACAAAGGAGACGTCCACCCTCACCGACCCATTCTTAAACGAGGCCCAGCTTAAGTCCCTTCTCGGACAGCTGGCAAAACTCAACGTATCGCAAGCTTCAATTTCACAAGTTGAAGGGTTGATACGAGAGCAGAGAGCAAGTTCACCACTTTCCGAGCCCCTCAAAGTCTCCGGGCCCAGTTCATTCATCCCATTGAAAAAGTTCCTAGAACTAGGCCCACAACCAGCTGGAATCCACAACGGTCATTCTTTTTGGACCCACACTCTCTTAACCCTTCCCGCCGCGGGGGTAGAAACTTTTCCAGCCGTCACGCCACTCATTGCATGCGTGTCCTTGGGCACATTTCCTAAAGACGTGTACGGGCACGATGCATGGCTCTTCGCCTTCCCATCATTCTTTCCAACGTTTGCCGACCTCTATCTGGATAACCATAATATTCACGACGAAATTCTGAGAACCGTATCTTAACAAAATCTCATTAGGAATAGGACTGCTTTTCTTGATTCTGATTCGAACGTAAGAAAGGTACCAAGAGTTCCAGTCAATTTCAATGAAGGATCCACAGAAGTTCTCAATCGTCCTCATCAAAATCGCAATCTTCAACTGCATCGGGATGTTAAAAGCAAATATCCATTCTTCATCGCCCGTCGCAATCGTATCTTCATCCTTCCACTCCACAAGCTTGATTAGAGCACCCCGAAACCTCAGGTGGTCAAGTTTTTTTAATCCTTTGGGCCTCGACAATGCTTGGACAGATCAACAACCAGCTTCCATCCGAACTATCATCAATTAATAAATTGGCGTCGATTGCCCAGTTATGAACAACCCACTGCCGAAAACTGTCAATTGATTCCGACGAGAAATTACAGAAGAAAGCACCAGACACCATCCCAGGAGCTCTTCTCTTTCCGCTACTCCCTCCTGACCCACCTCTATGAGCCGACCTACCCCGATCTTCTTAATAGAGCACCTCCCTGCTCCATAAAATCCAATCCCTTTGACGACATCAGCATAGGACTTATCTTTAACTTTCGTGCTACTAATGAGGGTTTCTAGCCCGAACTCCCTACCCGTTCATTTAACACTCGAAACTTTGAGGCGGTCACAAAGTTCCGCAGAATAGAAGTTCTGAAGCAGATTCATCACCGGAGTCCATCCTCCACCCCCATTTTTTGCTGGCAAGATGATCTTGAATGTTCTATTACTCCAAGTTTGCTCTGACAGTTGAACATATTGTCCCCACCGATTTGAACCCCTGCCAACATGAATCACCCGACTCCCACTTTTCTTCACACACCCTTTCGGAAAACTCCAATTCCGTCTCGCTGCTGTCTGGAAAACTCCCCGTAACCAAGATATCAATGCCTCGTCGAGCACTACAAACCATTTTCTCCCCCCCCCCCCTTCCTTCACCTTCCACTTGCATCCTCTACCTCTAATACCCTCTGTACTCAACCTTGCAAACTGACACCACCTTGAAACCTAGACGAACTTGCAGTTTGCAGCCAAACCCCGCCTCTTCGCCGCCATCCTCGGACCTCTTAGTCTCCGGCCTACAAAAAAACAAAGACCCTTTCCCAGATCCTCTCTCTCTCCTGGGCTCTTTCTCTCTCTAAACATACTTTCCCAGATTCTCTCTCTCCCATGATCTTTCTCTCTCTTTCACTACTATTGTACCGTGGAAACTAGAATATTAATATCTATTTTCTCAAAGTAGTTAGCTTTAGCTTTTTAATTGGACTAAAATTCAGAGAAATGGGGGTTAGGAATATTGATGGAGGTCGAGATTGGTGGCGAGCATCAGGTATATATGTTTTTCCTACACAATAAGGAAATTGTCAGTTTGCCCTACATCTAAGTGTACATTGTGGTATCAGATAAAGCACTCTTGCAAGTTGTAAACAGTTCTTTGAGATATCAAAAGTGAGAAATCTATAGTGTGGTTGCGGTAAGGGTTATGGAAAACATTAGTATTGGTGAGGATCATACAAACAGGGGTGTGTGAAGCTCCAAACTATTGACAAAGAGTTATTTGTGTTTGACAAAAGAGAGTTAAGATGAGAGAGAACAATGGATGTGTGCATACCAAAATTTAATGAAGGTTATGAGCACCAAACTCTTGTGATGGAGAATCTATTAAGATTCAAAGAGTATTGGGGTGTGGTTACTCACAGATTGCAGGAGCCAGGTCAAGGCTTGATCTTCTCTATTGAAGAGTCCAAAACCTTGGATGATCTAAGGTTGAAATATTTGAAGGAAAAAACTATTTTTTATGTTTTATTGACAAACCCATACTGAAGACCTGATACCAAATGATAGAACCTTGTTTCTAGGATTCTATCGGGAATTGGGGATTAATAGCAGAATTAGAGATTTGAGATTGAGATTAGGAGAGGAAGAACAGAATAAAGAATCGGTCGAAGCCTTGGACTAGGCAAGAAGAGAAATTAGGAGATAGGGAGAGCTTAGGGTTTGGGATAGATAATTCTTTAATTGATTTCTGCTTAATCCCACAAAAGACCCAGAGTACATATTTATAGCTAAGGACTAGAAAAACCTAATAGACTATCCTAATATGACTCAACCCTAATAATAATTATCCTACCATAATTAAAAATAGAAAACCCTAACAACCATGTTTCTATCATTCCCTCTCCCTTGAAACCAACCTTGCCCTCAAGGTTGCCTGACTCTACCCACTTCTCCACATCTCTTATGCCATCTGGGCCTTGACTTCTCCGTTTCTGGCGCTTCCTTTTCTTCCAATTGTGCTCCACTACTTGAACGAATTCCACACTAGCAACTTCGACACGCATTGCTTCTTTCATACCCATGTGGCTCATGCCACACCCATGTCCAAATGACTTTCCATCCTCTTTTTTTAAACTCCACAAAGTAAGAACCAGAAAGTGGTTCCTCGTTAAGCCCACCATATAAACCCACATTTTTTTTTAAAGTCCACACCATAAAGAAAACCAAACAGAGGACTCGTTTGTGGCCCAAGCCCATTATGATGATGCAACCCATCAAATCCTTGAGTTATATTGAGCCTTCCCAAACTCGGCCTGCGTCTCAATCATTGTTTGGCCTATACACGTCCAAATTTTGGCCCAACAACCATCACCTCACTTGTCAACTTGTGGCCCAAACCTCAATGGCTTACCTTCACAAATGGGCCAAACGATTTGAGCCCAATTTTGACGGTTCTATATTCTTTCTCCAACAAATCAGCCACTCCCTTTGGCCGAAGTAAGACATCGGCTGCAGGAGAAGGGGTAGGCCCATTCGCTTGGCCCAACTGCTCCTGTTGTGCTCCTTGCCCAAATCAAGCGAGCTAGGGTATGCGAGAAGAGAGCCCGAGCCGCCACCAACCTCTTCCTTCTTTTTCATCTTACTCGAGACGCCGCCCGCCATCGTCGTCTCCTTCTCCGCCGACCAGCGATCCGTTCGGCGGCTCGCCTCCTCATCCCCGCCGTGAAGGTCGTCGCTCCTCCACCTGCGCCGGCCTCCTCACCGACCCGCCGTCCCCCGTCAAGCTCATCATCGCCTCACACCGCCGCGCCCCTGCCGCATCCGGCCGGTCCAGCGCCTCGGCCTGCCGCGCCGTACCACGCGCCGCCACGACCCCGTCACCCTTCACCGCCGCGCTCAGCGATTCGCGCCACCGATCCCCCGCCAAGGCCTGCCGCGCCTCCTCATGCCGCGTCGCTGCACCCGCGACCCCGCGGTCGCCCGTTGGCGTCGATCGCCGCGTCTCGCCACCAGCCGCCCAGGGCTCCGCCGCCTCCACCTGCCGCTTCGTCCGCCGCAATGCCAAGGTCGACTGTCGACGTGGACCGCCGCTGCTGAGCGGCCGCCGCCACCTGCAACGCCGCGCGCCACTCCATCGTCTCGGTTGTCACCAGGTCGCGGCCCTGTTCACGCGTTGTCTGAGCTTGGGCAGCCCGGATGGCATCAATCAGTTGTTGCACACAGGTCCAGTCCAAATTAGAGAGCCGTATAGAGCTCATTGTAGCTCTGATACCAAATGATACCAAATGATAGAACCTTGTTTCTAGGATTCTATCGGGAATTGGGGATTTGGGGATTAATAGCAAAATTAGGGATTTGAGATTGAGATTAGGAGAGGAAGAACAGAATAAAGAATCGGCCGAAGCCTTGGACTAGGCAAGAAGAGAAATTAGGAGATAGGGAGAGCTTAGGGTTTGGGAATGATAATTCTTTAACTGATTTCTGCTTAATCCCACAAAAGACCCAGAGTACATATTTATAGCTAAGGACTAGAAAAACCTAATAGACTATCCTAATATGACTCAACCCTAATAATAATTATCCTACCATAATTAATAATAGAAAATCCTAACAACCATGTTTCTATCAAGACCATCACGGAAACGCCACTCATAAGGAATTGTCGGACTCCATAAAGGTCAAATGACAGGAAAGTGCTAGGTTCATAAGAATCAATTGCAGGTACTCTGGAGAACTTTTCAAGTTCTAGAAATTAAGGAAGGGGAAACTATGACTTCTTATTTCTACAGGGTTACGGTGGTTTCCAATTCCATGAGAAATTGTAGAGAAGACACGACAGACAACAAGATAGTAGAAAAGATCTTAAGAAATAAGAACCCTCGTACACAGGTATAAACTTTGTTGTATGATCTATTAAGAACTCAAAAGATATTGAATCTTTGTTTGTGGATGCTCTTCAAAGCTCCTTCATAGTGATTGAACAAAAATTACAAAGAAGGTAGCTAGTGAGAAAGATCAAGCACTAATATGTCACCTGTATATGAAGGAAGACTAGAATAGGAAACTATCAGGGTAGAGGAAGAAGGAAAAAAATTCAAAACTACCACTGTTTAAAAAAAAATTACAAAAATACCACCAATTCCCAATAATTTTCAAAAATACCATCGTTTATTTAAAACCGCGCCTCTAATGAGTGGTTTTAATTGAAATCACGCCTCCTGGCAGCGGTTAATGCACAAAACGCGCCTCCAAGGCGCGGTTTGACTCTTCATGTCTGTCAAACCGCGTTGCCACGTGGCGGTGAATCAGACCCCGCGATGGGGGAGCGATCTGACGGCCAAACCGTGCGGCACCTCAGCGATCCGCGTCGCTCAGTAAAACCGCCCCTCCCTCACGCGGTTTCGTCCCTATATAAATTCCCCTTCCCCCTCCCATTTTCTGCACACCAAACCCATTCCCCCCTCTCTCCCTCTAATTTCTCACTCTACCCACCCCCTCCCCACCCAAAAACCTTAGAATTAGTTATTTTGTTGGTTGCGGCTAAGTCCGATCTGCCTTCAAAAAACTTTTTCTTTGGTTTTCACTAAAAAACCGTCGAACCTCTGTCCGGATTCCGAAAAAATTGCCGATTTCGACCAAGAAGAGGGTCTTTTTTATGATGATTATCAAACGGTACGTACTCATTTTTTCCAATTGTTGTTGTTGTTATAATGATTTATTTAATTTATATACTAATTGATTTATGTTGTTGTTATGCTATCGTAGGTTGGGCCGGATGTTGATATTTACAATCAACGATATTATGTTGATCAAGGACCGATTGATCCGACTGTTTTATACGATCAAGCAAATCATCGTTCAAGAGACGTTTGGAACGACCACAAGGTACATATTATTTATCATCACTTATAATTTGTATTTTGTTAAAGTAATTTATTTGTTTGTACAATAATTTACTTGTTAATCGTATTGATTATTTTCAATAATTTAAATCAATACAATACATCACTTATTTAGACTCTTCATAAAGAAATGCATGTGACTCGCTATAACACAACTCCTAACAAAGGCCAAGTGTAACCAATGAAAGGGACTGCAGTATAGTGGCTCAAGTGATAAATATCGAATCCACGGGTCTCTAGAGTTACTATTACTCAACTTCAGTTTATTATTTAGAAAACTAGATTAAGATGAAAGAACTAAAACTACTCTAGCAAACTACAGTTAAAGTTAATCTAATTACAGGTTGGGAACTCACTTAGGTATGATTCCCCCTAGCCACTAGCCAGACTAACGATTGATGATTTCTAACTTGTTTCTCTTTCATTCACAATGCGGAGAATCCTTGACTAGACCTTGAGTCTCGACTAAAGGAACAAGGCCTCTTGAGTCAATTGCCTAGAGGGACGTATCCTTCTCTAGAACAACCGATCAAGGCGTTCTGAACTAGACTCCCTCTATCGAAAGAGGTTCTCAATCGATACAAAGCAGTGAATCAACCCTCGACTAAAGCAATCGATCCACTACTATCAATCTATGGTGCTCTATTGACCTAATCAGGTATTCGCTCTCATAGGATCAAAGCAGAATCAATAATCTTGACTAAAGCAGAATTGAATCATGAAAACATGCATAGATTGAATATGAACTCAAGATTATCAAGTCAGAGTAATCATACAATCATCCAATCAAACAAACATAGCTAGGGTTCCTCAAAACCTAAGTGAAGGGAAGTTACTCCATAGAGAAGAGAGAGACTGCAGTAAGAATCTTCAGATGATCAGTCTTCAAGTCCGGGCTTGTTCCTCGAGCTTCCAAGGCAAAGAATTCCTCCAATTCCACTCCAAGAATGCCCTCAAATCGCCCTCTCTCTCTTTGGTTCGTCCCTTGGGTGTTTGGGATCCAAAACCCAGCTCTCCCTCTCCTTTGGCTCGAATTTGCGTTAAAAAACCTGATTCTGGGCAAAACAAGGTCGAGGGCACGGCCGTGCTTTGCTTTTGACCGCCCGTGTTTTGCCCCGTGTTAAAAACACGCTCGCGCGCGTCGGCCAAAACACGGTCGTGCCTAAATATGGGCACGGCCGTGTTTTGATTTAGGCGCGCCCGTGTTTTTACTGCCGAACCTGTTCCCCTATATTCAATGCTTCGTTTCTCCCTCGTCCGGACTCCGAATCAGTCTCCGTTTGATCCCAGACGCTCGTAGTCTCGTCCTCTTTATTTTCATGACAAGCTTGCATGATTCTTTGTCCATAAATTGAGGTATAAATTCATTCTTCTTCAGGTCATGCCCGAGTTTCTTCTCCCTAATCGCCAATTGATCTCTGATTGACTTGAAACTTGCGCCTATGCTTCACTTTATGTGCTAGGACCTGAAATGTGACAAAGGAACACAACCTAGCGTAAAATAGGCCAAAGAAGCAATAATTAAAGCTCAAACAATCAAGAAACAAAGGGGAAAACATGTGCAAATATCGAGTCATCAAATCCCCCCACACTTAACCGTTTGCTTGTCCCCAAGCAAACCTAACTCAAACCAATGCAGCTCTCCAGACCTCTATAGCAACATGCACCCTCGATCGTTGATAGAGAATTTTCTAGATCATTTAGCAGCTTACGATGTCAACCGACGCACAAGTCATCTCATAGTTTCTTCGGCGAGAACGCTAGTCTCGAGTCGGCATCATGGCAAATAGTGAACAGAGGACAAATGAATCGTGGACAAAGAGACTCTAAAAAAAAAGATCATGGACTCACATTTTTTAAGGTGCTCTTATTTTCTTTTTGAAGACGGTTGGAACCCCTTTTCTTTCTGTTTTGCTTGTTTTCTGTTATTTTTCCTTTTTTTTTTCAAGGGTCCCAACCTGCTTTTCAGAAAATGGGGGCTCCCACCTAGCAGAGGTTTTGCGGGAGCCCGGCTCTTACCGGCCATGCCAGGAGCGGGTGTCTCGAGCCTCGTGCGGGGGAAAGACATGTAAGGGGGCTGGAGGTAGTAGGTGAAAATTGGGAATGAATTCCCGTCTCCCCTTACACACTTTCGCCCTATTCGCACGGGAGACGTTATTTTAAAGCACATTTTCGAGCACCTGTTAAACTCAAAACATGAAACAAGAGTCCATGACAGGTAGAGAGTCCACAACACCACACAATTCAGGGGTCCTAAGATCACTAATTCACTCAATCAACCAACACAATATGAAGAAGAAATGAGACATCTTAAATGCATCAACATCCTCCATAGTGCTACACTACCTCCCTAGGTTGCATATTACTATAAAGACTGTCAATTCAAAGCATACTGAGCAGGCAATTGCAAGGAACACATACTTGGAGCCCTCAAATTGAAATTTGGACAGTGGACTAGGCTCCAAGCACACAAACAGTCAAACATTCACACACATACATAATCGAACATCCCCCCACACTTAAGCACGACATTGTCCTCAATGGAGGAAAGATAAGGAGGGTAGAACGAAGTTACCATATCAACGGTGAATGATTGTGGACGGGGAAGGCGGTGCATTCCAGGAGGACAAAGTAGTCGAAACACAAACACCACACAAAATCTCACAAAGGTTGAATTATTGACTCTGAAATCAAAGAACAAAACTGACTCAACCGAAGAGAAATAGAGAAAGAAATGCAAACCGACTGGTTGGGTTGCCTCCCAACAAGCGCTTCTTTCACGTCGTGAGCCGGACGATGGCTCCTAAGTTTCGGTCCACCCCAAAACCTCCTTGAAGTTGAGGTTCTCGTCGATGAGGTGGAGTTTCAAGTCACGAGCATGTGGTATGACAGGTGATGGAAGCTCGTGCACTTGATGCAGATAACGTCTCCACCCTCGAGACCTCTTCTTCTTTTCTCTCGTCTCATTGCCCCAAACCAGATATGACAGCATCGATTGACCACCATCGCGTCCACCAAGAGGGACCGATGTCGATGTGGCCTTGGTCTGGCAAAGAGACACTGCAAATGGGTCCATGCTAAGCAGTTCCTCGAAGTTTGGTGGAGATATCACATGTAACTCATGGCCGGTGCATGCCTCTTCCACCTTAACTCCGTCCTCAGCCTGGACGCCAATTTCTTCTTCAACCTCCCTTCCTTATTCATGTGGTATCACCCCTGGGAAATGATCAAGAATTCCTCCTGCTTCACTTTCGCCATCCTCCACAACTTCTTTCTGCACCCTTTCTTGCTCTTCTTCTTCTAGCACGGATTGGAGAGCAAGTTGCCAAGCAATTTCTTTCATGAGATCTTCTTGCATCTCCTCACTCATGCCCGCCTCTTCAAAGCTCAGTTTGGG